CAATAAGAATGGCTCCATCCTACAGCAAGGTGTCAATCTCTGCAGCTCCTTTGTCATTGTTGCTCGTCTCGAAAAATTCCCACGGGTCGCTTTTTCCCTCGGTACTTGACTGATCTGCTTGTTCAGCTTCATCCTCTCCAATGTCTCCATCTTTGTCGCTCGCTGATTTTGACAGAAGTGGAGTTGCAGGCGCCGCTTCCATATCACTGTTGTCGAGCTTATCCTCCGTTGGCTCCCACACCCAATCCACTCCAGCTTGGGTATGTTCTTCTTCATCTTCTTCCCCTTCGTTGTTCGCTGTCCCCAAGCCTTCGTTTTGGGCATCTTCAAGCAGTTCCTCCGCTCGTTGAGGTGTGGCAGGTGCTGTCCTTGGAGTTGTGCCCGTGTTGCTTGCCTTCCAGTCCACGTAGCTGAGGTTTTCGTAGAATGTGACATCCCTGGTCGCCAAAACGATCCCAGTCTCCACGTCTTTAATAATCCAGCCTTTGCTCTCCGGGCATGTCCCTAAGTGCACCCCCCAACGTGCGCTTGGCAGGAGTTTGTGATCAGCTCCAGCAGAGGGCCTGTATTGCGTCATGCAGCCCCATACTCGAAGAAACTTCAGGTTAGGTTTCCGCTTGTAGAATGCTTCGTGAGGTGTCTTGTCCGCTACAAGTCCCTTTGTCGGTAGGCGATTTTTCAGCCAGCAAGCCATACCCAGCGCGTCTCCCCAGTAGGTTAGAGGTAGCTTGCTGTCCGCTATCATGCTTCGCACGCTGTTGAGCAGTGTTTTGTTCACCCGTTCCGTAACACTGTTGTGTTGAGGGGTATGGGGAATAGTACGCTGCCGTCGTATTCCCTTGGCTTTCAGGTAGTCGTTGAACTCCTTGTTGATGAACTCCCCACCATTGTCAGTTCAAAGTACTTTCAGCTGCTTGCCGCTTTGTCGTTCAGCTTCTGCCAACCAGTCCACAAAGCTCGGAAAAACCTGAGTTTTATCCATAAGTTCCGTCACCCATGTGAGTCTTGTGCCGATGTCTGTGAACGTGACAAAGTATCTGCTGCTATGTCGTGATGTGACTCTCATGGGACCGCATACATCCGCTGCTACCACTTCCATTGCCCCATATGGCTCCTTCGGTCCATGTCTTGGATGGGGAGCCTTGGTAGCTTTCCCTTCGATACATGAGTCGCACTTCGTGTGGGTTTCCTCAGTTCCAGTCACCTTCACTCCCGCTGCCATGTTTTTCTTCATCATTTCCTTGATCCGTTGAGTGTTCGCATGCCCCATCCTTTTGTGCAGGAGATTGATATCAACCGCTTCCGCCGCTGCTGCTACGGGAAGCTTCAGCTGCTGCAGTTCGGTCACTGCAGTATTTTCCAGCATGGTACGTAGGTCTTCTCGGGCCTTCTTCCCCTCTTCAGGTTCAGGTTGATAGGTGACCTTGTTTTCATGCGAATCTTGCTCCTTCAGCTTCATCTCGTAGAGTCCTTGAGTCCGTGCGCCTTCCGCTAGCAGTTGCCAGTCGGGACCGAACACCCACAGCTTTCCGTTGTCACTGAACGTCTTGCAACCACTGCTGTCCAGTTGCATTTGACTTATCAGGTTGAGGGACAGCTTCTCCACCAGGAGAACGTTGTCCATTTTTAGCTCCCCATAGGGGCTCTGTAAAATGAGGTCCCCTACTCCTTGCACTTGAAGTTTTCCTTCATCCCCGAGTAGGACGTAAGGGACTCCGGATTCCCGGTAGTCGCGTAGCCAATCAGCGCGGTGCGTCATGTGCTGTGTGCACCCGCTGTCCATAAACCAAGCCGTCTCCTTGAATCCTTTTGACAGCAGGCACACCTCGGATGCTCGAGCAACGTTGGCTTTGTGGGCGCCTCCAAGGATGGCGTCCACCTTTGGCGTTTCTTCCACTGCTGCAGGTGCCTCCATCAGGTTTGTCTTCGCTGCTGCTGCTGGTCTTTGTTGTTGCAGCTCCTTTCCTCGGAAGTTTCTGCTAAATCGGTTGTTGTAGCAATCGGAAGCTTTGTGCCCATATTTGCTGCAATGGTTACAATTTCCATTGAAACCTCCGCTTGCCTTGTAGCCTTCTCCACGCCTTCCATCGTTGTGTTGTTGCCACTGTCCTTTCCCTTTGTAGTTCCTTCCATTGGGGTTGGAATAACAGACGGCAGCTTTGTGCCCCTTCTTCCCGCAGTTGTAGCAGTTGCCAAAATCCCTTGGTGTTGCAGTTGCATTCAGATTTGCAGGCTTGTTGACCTCTGCTGCCGTTGCCACTGCTTCCCTCCTTTTCAGGTCAGATTTGACCAGCCCCAGCGCTTGGAGGGTCTCGAGCAGCTGGGTCATATCCTTGGGCGTGTTGCAGGTAAGAATTCCGATCTCTGCTGTCCACTCCTTGGGTAGGCCGCTGATGATGTATCCCATCATGTGCTTCTCTGATTCGGGCGCCCCCATTGCTGTGAGATCATCGTTGTAGCTCTTGGCTCGATTCACGTAGTCAATGATCTTCTCCGTTGGCTCCATTGCAAGCAGCAGCAGTTTCTTTCTCACTGCAGTCAAATTCGTGTCGCTCCGTCCGAGATATACCGCTTCCATGTATGCCCATGCACGTTGTGCTGAATTGATGTCGTCCGCAAACTGGTCCAGCCCCACAGCGATGGAGTCCGAAACTGAGTGACACAGTTGGAAGAAAGCTTGCAAACTTTTCTTCTTGTATGTCTTCTTTTCTTGTGCCGTTGCCGTTGCAGGTGGAGGTACTCCTTCCTCCGTCTCCTCGTCCGCTTTGTAGAGGGGCCAGATATCAACTTCTCTTGCCCTCCGCATGAACTTGAGTCGCCATGTGCTGTAGTTGTTGCCATTGAACCGTTGCGCCTCGCTCAGGCCAATCGTTGGCCTGGCCACCACGTGCCCTTGTGTAAGGGCCTCCAAGAGGGCTTGGACTTGGGGAACTTCAGCACTGACTAAAGAACCCGAGCTTGCCTCACCATCCCCATTCGGCATGATGCAGGAACTTGTCTTGGCCCTTCTTGAATGCTTGAAACGCACTATAACCAGCTCTGATACCAGCTCTTAGACTTAGACGTAGTGAGTACGTGACTTAGCAGGTCACGAAAGTAGCAGTAGCGGGCTTCAGACTGGATCTGAAAGTTGAGAAATCAGGTTGCTTTCCAACCCAGGTTGCAAACAGAAAGTTTCACTAAGAATAATTGATACAATGAGGAAAACAGAACATGATATTTAAGCAATCTGAAATCCGAATTTCAATGTGCGCCTCGTGTAACGCGCCTCGTCGCGAATCCGAATTTCGTAACAGTAACCGGCATTGAAAACCGAAATTCAAACTGAACCGTCGGTGAAACCGACTTTCTTCAACTCCACCGAACACCGCCTCCAGAAAGGTTAGGGAAATTCTGGCGGTCCAGAACGTTCTCCCTTCTCTTCCTCCTGAAACCCTCGTTTTCACCAGCTCTTCCTCAGGATCTCTCACCTAACTCTTCCCACCGTCAGAACTCGTTATTCCAGCCTATTCTCTCCCACCGCCAGAGGTAAGGCAATTTCCAAGTGTCCTGTTCTGTCGTTTTCATGCTCTAGAGTCGGTGCAGCGGCGAACCACTTCTAACACATGGCGAATGAACGCCCTGATCCAGCGTGCTCTCACGCTTGGCGCCAAGGCGTGAGAGCATGGCGAATGAACGCCCTGATCCTGCGCGCTCTCACGCTTGGCGCCAAGGCGTGAGAGCATGGCGAATGAACGCCCTGACCCAGCGCGCTCTCACGCTTGGCGCCAAGGCGTGAGAGCATGGCGAATGAACGCCCTGATCCAGCGAGCTCTCACGCTTGGCGCCAAGGCGTGAGAGCATGGCGAATGAACGCCCTGATCCAGCGCGCTCTCACGCTTGGCGCCAAGGCGTGAGAGCATGGCGAATGAACGCCCTGATCCTGCGCGCTCTCACGCTTGGCGCCAAGGCGTGAGAGCATGGCGAATGAACGCCCTGACCCAGCGCGCTCTCACGCTTGGCGCCAAGGCGTGAGAGCATGGCGAATGAACGCCCTGATCCAGCGAGCTCTCACCTGTTTCTCTCCCCCTGTGTCTCAGATCCGTTGTCACACCTTCTTCCCAGCAGCAGGTCGGGCTGTGAATGCTTGCATTCTCACATGTTTCTCTCCCCCTGTGTCTCAGATCCGTTGTCACACCTTACTAGTACTACTAGTAGCCGCCAGCTCGAGGTTTTAGAGATTGACGAGTCAAGGATTCTCAAGGCGTCCGGCGCCAAGCCGCTATTTCCCCCGGGCTGCCTGCGATGAAGCACCAGCGATGCCACCAGCTTTCTGCCTTGAAGGCGGCGCTCCCCGCCGCGCTCTCCCCAGCGCTCACCATGGCGCTCTGGCTTGTCGCCTTCAACGTCTCGTCGTGCCACGCGCAAGTGATCAATGCTTCTCAAGGTAGTAATCCTAGCACCGCTCACCGTCCCACCCAACCTCCTCCAACCTGTGACAGTACTATTGGCTCAGCGATACCCGACTAGGGAGGCAGTAGAAGTAGTGTTACCTCTCCCTCCATTCCTCCCCTCCTAAGGGAGTACTCAGGTGGCTCCCTCCCTCCTCCCTCTCAAATTCCCTCCAAACCTCCTCCCTCCCTCTCCCTCTCCCTCCGTCCCTCCTCTCTCCCTCCTCCACTTCCTCCCTCTCACCCCCTCCTTCCCCCACTCCCTCCCTCCCCCACTCCCTCCCTCCCACACTCCCTACCTCTCCCACTCCCTCCTGCCCCCCCCCCCCCCTCCCCCACTCCCTCCCTCCCTCCTCCCTCCCCCACTCCCTCCCTCCCTCCCTCCCCCCCTTCCCCACTCCCTCCCTCCCTCTTCCCCCCCTTCCCCACTCCCTCCTTCCCCTCCCCCTCTCCCCCTCTCCTTCCGACGCATGCCTCGGATCTTATGCACTCATGCTACTCATGAGTGCTCATGTCACTCATTTCCTTCCGCGACTTTTCTTATGCCCTCTCCTCGCCCCAACACGTCAGGGTTGTTTCTCAGCGACGTTAAGACGGGATGGGGCATGGGGTGGAAGGTGGGAGACAAATGCAGCACTGCGTTAGGTATCGAGTGCGACGCTTCAGGCATGATCACCTGGATGTGAGTGCACGCGTTGGTATCTTGGATGGAAAGGTGCGTCTTCCATGACACACACACCATCTGCTGCCTGCCGCAGATGCTTCCCTCAGCTCCGAACCCGACCTCTCCCACCTCTCTCTCCCTCCGTGATCTACTTCTCCCATCACAGCTGCTTCCATTTCTCCAGGTTCCTCCCCTGATGCTATTAATTCCCCACGCCAGACATCGCTGTCGGCACTCCTCCACTGCCCATGCAATCTGCATGCCCACTCCTCCCCCCTTCTTCTGTCTGCAATCGCGTTGCCACTCCTCGATCGTCTCTGCTGCTCCAACCTTGTGGTCTCTCTTCATTGAGTTCACGTGTGCCTTGCTTAGTAGAACTCACAGTTGCCACTACACAATCTCTACCTTCACAATCACAAACCTCGACAATTGCCTGGCTCTAGCCCTTCTGAATCTATTATGCCTTCCAGGTTCCCGCCACCCTCTGTAGACAAGCATTCGAGCCCTCGTCGTACCACGCGCAACTCACTCACCCCACACAGGGATCTTTGGAGCAACAATCTCACGGGCTCCATTCCCGACAGCATCTCTGCGCTCACGGCACTCGAACACCTGTAAGAGGCACACTGGGTTTGCTCCACCTGCGTGCCACTCTGTCCATTGGGTGTTGCATGCCATGTGCGCATCACTTCTGGCACTCCTCTACTGCCCATGCACACTCCTCCCCCCTTCTTCTGTTTGCATCGCGTTGCCACTCCTCGATCGTCTCTGCTGCACCAACCTTGTGCTCTCCCTTCATTGAGTTCAAGTGTGCCTTGCTTAGTAGAACTCACAGTTGCCACTACACAATCTCTACCTTCACAATCACAAACATCGACATTTGCTAGGCTCTAGCCCATTTGCCTTCCAGGTTCCCGCCATCCTCTGTAGACAAGCATTTGAGCCTCTCATGTTACCAAGCGCAACTCACTCACGCCACACAGGCATCTTTGGAGCAACAATCTCACGGGTCCCATTCCCGATAGCATCTCTGCGCTCACGGCACTCAAACACCTGTAAGAGGCACACTGGGTTTGCACCACCTACGTGCTTTGTCTACTGAGTGCTTGCCATATGCGCATCACTTGAGGCACTCCCCCACTGCCCATGTACACTACCTGCCCACTCCTCCCCCCATCTTCTGTTTGCATCGCGTTGCCACTCCCGATCATCTCTGTTGCACCAACCTTGTGGTCTCGCTTCATTGAGTTCACGTGTGCCTTGATTAGTGGAACTCACAGTTGCCTCTACACAATCTCAACCTTCTCAATCACAATTGCTTGGTTCTAGCCCTTTTGAATTTATCATGCCTTCGAGAATTTAATGCATTTGCTGCTTCGGTAGAGTTTGCTCCCCTACACAATGTCAACCATGAAAATTGCCGTCTGCTACAATAGTCCTGCTCTAGCCCTTTCAAACTGATCACGCCCACACAATTCTAGCCATCCTCTGTGGACAGGCTAAAGTCACTTATTTCGTTTAAGTGATGTGCTATGCTGGTGATATAGTGGAATGGAACTGAAGCTGTTTGGGGATTAGATGTCTGGCATTTATTGGGAGATTCTCCATTCACCTTCATCGTGCGCTCCATGCACTCTTGTTTTTAGCATAGCATATTGCAAGGCATGCGCAAGGTACTAGATGTAAGAGTGTCACACGTAAGTGTTTCTTTCTTTTCCTCCTACCATGCCCTCTCTTCTCATCACGCGCAACTTACTCAACCCCACACAGGAGATTTACCAGCAACAGTCTCACAGGCTCCATTCCTGACAGTATCTCTGCGTTGAAGGAACTCACATTGCTGTAAGAGGCACACTGGGTTTGCTCCTCCTGCGTGCCGTTCTGTCCACTGGGCGCTGCATGCCATGTGCGCATCACTTCACGCACTCCTCCATTGCCCATGCACACCGCATGCCCACTCCTCCCCCCTTCTTCTGTTTGCATCGCGTTGCCACTCCTCGATCGTCTCTGCTGCACCAACCTTGTGGTCTCGCTTCATTGAGTTCACGTGTGCGTTGCTTAGTAGAACTCACAGTTGCCACTACACAATCTCTACCTTCACAATCACAAATTGCCTGGTTCTAGCCTTTTTCAATTTATCATGCCTTCGATAATTTCATGCATTTGCTGCTTTGGTAGAGTTTGCTCCCCTACACAATGTCAACTACGAAAATCGCAGCTTGCTATAGTAGCCTTGCCCAAGTCCTTCCAAACTGATCACGCCTACACAGTTCTAGCCATCCTCTGTGGACAGGCTAAAGTCACTTGTTTCGTGGAGGTGGTGAGCTGTGCAGATGATATAGTGGAATTGAACAGAAGCCGTTTGGGGACTAGATGTTTGGCATTCATTGGGAGACTCTCCATTCACCTTCATCGTGTGCTCCATGCACTGCTACTGTGCACTCTTGTTTTTAGCATAGCAAATTGCAAGGCATGCGCAAGATACTAGATGCACGAGTGTCATCAAGTCACACGTGAGTGTTTCTTTCTTTTCCTCCTGCCATGCCCTCTCTTCTCATCACGCGCAACTCACTCAACCCCACACAGGGATCTTAGCAGCAACAGTCTCACAGGCTCCATTCCTGACAGTATCTCTGCGTTGAAGGAACTCACTGGGCTGTAAGAGGCACACTGGGTTTGCTCCTCTTGCGTGCTGCTCTTCCCACTGGGTGCTGCATGCCATGTGCACATCACTGCTGGCACTCCTCCACTGCCCTTGCACTCAGCATGCCCACTCCTCCCCCCTTCTTCTGTCTGCAATCGCGTTGCAACTCCTCAATCGTCTCTGCTGCACCAAATTTGTGGTCTCGCCTCATTGAGTTCACGTGTGCCTTGTGTTGTGCAGCAAGTATGTCCCAGCGGGTAGATTCTCACTTGTGGTCTTAGATATTGTGGGTTCAATTCTCAGTAGCTGCAGGTTCCCTTCTAATTATGCTCCACATTACATGTCCACACTCTACCACACTCCACCACAGTGAAGTGAGGTCACAGTTGGCATTGCCACCTGTCCACTCATCCCACACTCACCTTGGTGGCCTCTATGTTGTGCCATATGCTGTCATGTGGGCTGTTGTTCCAGCCTGGCCCACATGTGCAACATGTGGCCTCACTTGCTAGCTTGGCAAAGTTGGCTAGCTTAGCCCCCTCAGCATTGAGGTGCTGCAACTAGCTTCAAGTGTTTTGCCACATATATGTGGCTTCCCACTTCACTAGGAATCATCCTTGACAAGAACCTTGCTCTAGTCTTTAAGACTTGTACCATTTTGCTAGGGAAATCTCTTCTTCCTATCGTGGCCTAAGTTCACCGATCCACTTTCTTCATGCTATTAGAGCTAGGCTTCTAGCTTTGTGAACGTTGCACACTTGATGGCTCAAGTTGAGGCGCCTCTCGGTCGACACACTTGTCCTATCTTGGAACCGGATGGTTCCAACTTCATTCCATGGAAGAAAAAGATAAGCTACATCTTCAATGTTCTTAGGCTGATCTCCTTTCTTCGAGATCCGAAGGTTGCTGCCCGCTCTTCCATTTCCTCCTCCACAACCAGCAGTGGAGATGCTATTGAAGGCAACAACGGTGCAGCCCCTAAAACAACCCACTCGATTGCATCGCTGTCAAACGAAGAAAAAGAGGAGCATGCGTACGACCTTCTCATGTTAGTCGTTCCTCAGCTCTCGCTCACACTTGCTCAAGCCAACACGACGTAGGACATGTGGAGATGCATCATGGCGCGGTTCGACTGCATGGGTAACCATGCACAAGTGGCTCTCCTCCGAGATCTCATCACTACACGGATGGACCCAACAATGAGTCTTTGTTCCAACTTCGATCGAGTTGGAAATCCTACGCACCAACTCAAATCTGCCGGCTTCAAGTTACCATCTTGGGTGGTGGTAATCTCCATCATTCTCAATCTGCCGGACTCCAAGACTCTCACAGAAACCATTTGCACCGTGAAAGACATCAAGACTATGATGGTTGAAATACCTGCAGTCACGTCTATTCGATGTCGATTGGGAGCGGTCACAATCTGGTACAAGCCGCAACATGGAAGGTGCATACAACCTCCATTCCCAGCCCTCCCACCCTATTCGCTCCGGTGCTCGCCAGTCCCCTACATGCCGCTACTGCAAGAAAACTGGACACACTATAGACGAATGCTTCAAGTTGAAGAAGGAAAGCGATCGAAGAAAGTTCTCGACGGGAGAAATCTGTCATCCAGCCTTCGGTGCATGTGTCAACAAGCTCCTCTGCCGACATCCCTTCGACCTCCACAACACCTACTGTCCCATCAGCCCCTCAGTCCGTGCTTGATTCCCGGTACGTTGACATTGCTTTCAGCACCAACCACGGCTCCATCCTCCCCGCCTGGACTCCTCTCGTCGTGCTCTCTTCATCTTCACCATCCTCCTCCTCCTCTTCCCTTATGGTGCTTCCTACGCATCGGCATTCACGGCATCCTCATCAAACATGGTCCAGACGTCTTCCTGGCTGGTGGACAGCAACGCATCTTCCCATATCCGCTCCGATCGTTCGCTTATCATCTCTCCAACAGCCAATTGATGATATTGTCGTTCGCTTTGGTGGCGGAGAGACTTACAAGGTCTTGGGAGTTGGCACGGTGGTGGCTACTCTTCGTTCACAAACCTCGGAAACCACCATCCAGCTAGACAACGTTCCGTTTCTCCCTTCATCGGTGCTCAATCTGCTTTCAGTTCGTGCACTTGGAGCTGCCGGCATTGCCGTTTCCTTAAAGCTCATGACATCGCTCGACACTGCTCTACGCCGTACACACCCGAACAAAATGGAGTTGCCGAACGCGCCAATCGGACTATACTTGAGATGGTCCGTTCCATGCTTCATGACACACACATGGACAAAGGATGGTGGGGTGAAGCTGCTCTCACTGCTGCCTATCTCCGAAATCATGCTATTAGTCGGGGTGGTTCAGCTTCCATGACTCCCATAGAACTATGGACCGATGCACGTCCGAACGTATCACACCTCCGCATCTTCGATTCACCTCAGCCCTCGTTCCTCCGCAACGTCGCTCCAAACTCGACGACTGAAACACGGCCGGCATCATGGTTGGGTATGGTCATCTTGACGGCACCAAAGCTTATTGCATCTATATTCCAACTCAGCACCGTGTTACAGTTTCTCGTGATGTCATCTTCATGGAGCCCTCTTCGCCACCTTCCAATGACCCTCGAGAACCTCCACTTGAGGCACCATGAGAGAAGAAAAATATATCCTTAGTAGGAAGATGGTACAAGCCTGACAGGCTAGAGCAATGTTCTTTCCAAAGATAAGTTCTAGAGAAGTGGGAAGCCACATTTATGTGGCTGAACTCTTGAGGCTAGCTGCAGTACCTCAAAGCTGAGGGCAAGGCTAGCCAACCTTGCCAAGCTAGCAATTGAGGCCACATGTTGCACATGTGGGCCAGGCTGGAACAACAGCCTACATGGCAGTATGTGGCACACCATAGGAGCAAGCAAGGTGAGTATGAGATGGGTGGACAGATGGCAATGCCAACTGTGACCACACTTCACTGTGGGTGAGTGTGGTGGAGTGTGGGAATGTCATGTTGGGCATAATGAGAAGAGAAGGTGCTGCCAATGAGAGTTGAACCCGCGACCACTAAGACCAAAGGTGAGAATCTACCCACTGGGACATTCTTGCTTCCACAACACCCCCCCTCAAGGATGTCCCCGAGGCAGGGTACCTAAAGAGGAAACATGGGTGAGACCGAGAAGACCACGGATGCGAAGAAAAGGGTCACGGGGCAAAGGCTTGGTGCCAATGTCAGCGAGGTTGTCTTGAGTAGGAACATAGTGAAGGGTGATGGAGTGGTCGGCAACATGATCGCGAATGAAATGGTGCTTGATGTCGATGTGCTTGGCCTTGGGATGAAAGACGCCATCGTCCTTGGCGAGAACGATGGCACTATTGTTGTCACACGAGATACGGGTGGGGCCGGTTGGGGGAAGTCCAACTGCAGTAAGGAGTGAACGAAGCCATAATGCCTCGTGCACCGCGGCGCCCAGAGAGTAATATTCAGCTTCACATGAAGAGGTAGCAACGAAGGCTTGGCGTTTGGACTGCCAAGAGATGAGTGACGGACCGAGACGCATCTGTGGTCTTCTCGGTCTCGGCCATGTCTCCGCTTGAAGGACCCTACCCCGAGGACATCCTTGAGGGGGGGGTGTTGTGCATCAAGTATGTCCCAGAGGGTAGATTCTCACCTGTGGTCTTAAAGGTTGTGGGTTCAATTTTCAGTAGTTGCAGGTTCCCTTCTCATTATGCTCCACATTACATGTCCACATTCTACCACACTCCACCACAGTAAAGTGTGGTCGCAGTTGGCATTGCCACCTGTCCACTCATCCCACACTCACTTTGCTGGCCTCTATGGCGTGTCATATGCTGTCATGCGGGCTGTTGTTCCAGCCTGGCCCACATGTGCAACATGTGGCCTCACTTGCTAGCTTGGCAAGGTTGGCTAGCCTAGCCCTCAGCATTGAGGTGCTGCAGCTAGCCTCAAAAGTTCAGCCACATATATGTGGCTTCCCACTTCACTAGGAATCATCATTGACAAGGACCTTGCTCTAGTCTTTAAGACTTGTACCATTTTCTTGCTAAGGATATTTTTTCTTCCTATCGTGCCCTAAGTTCACCGATCCACTTTCTTCACCTTGCTTAGTAGAACTCGCAGTTGCCACTACACAATCTCTACCTTCACAATCACAAACCTCTACAATTGCCTGGCTCTAGCCCTTCTGAATGTATCATGCCTTCCAGGTCTCTGCCACCCTCTGTAGACAAGCATTAGAGCCTCTCTTCTTACCATGCGCAACTCACTCACCCCACACAGGGATCTCAGGAACAACAGTCTCACGGGCTCCATACCCGCCAGCATCTCTGCGCTCACGGCACTCGCATTGTTGTAAGAGGAATACTGTGTTTGCTCCGCTTGCGTGCTTCTCTGCCCACTGGGTGCTGCATGCCATGTGCTCATCACTGCTGGCACCAGGGTTAAAATAAACAATCGTTTTTTTGAAAATTTCTGTATTAAACGGTAGTGCAATAAACGGTTGAAATAACGGTTTAAAACGATTCCAGGAGGTGTTTCCTGTAACTGACTAAACGGCTATTTAGTGGGATCAAATTGAACACGAAATGCAGCAGCATGAAGAGGAAGGACCCCTTCTTGCATGTATGCGCTTGTTTGCAAGATTGAAAATGTCTTTTACCTTTTCTCCTTTTTTTTTCTTGGTGAATGGAGTTCTCTAACAAAAAAACGGCCGTTTTTTTTTAAATCACAGTAAAAAACGATCGTAAAAAACGGATTGTATTTTACGAATACTGTAATTTTGATCCTTTGATGGCACTCATCCACTGCCCATGCACTCTGCATGCCCACTCTTCCCACCTCCTACTGCCGCCTGCATCCCTTTGCCACTCCGTGTCCCTCCCTGCTTCTGTACTCCAATATTTACATGCTGTAGCTGCTTCGGAAGAGTTCGCGATTGCCACTACACAATGTCAACCTAGAAAATCGTAGTCCGCTACAGTAGCCTTGCCCTAGCCCTTCCGAACTGATTATGCCTTCACAATTCCAGCCACCCTCTGTGGACATGCTCGAGTCACATGTTTCGTTGAGATGGTGTGCTGTGCTGGTGATCAAGTGGAATGGAGTTGAAGCTGTTTGGGGATTTGATGTCTGTGGCATTCATTGGGAGACTCCCCATTCACCTTCATCGTGTGCTTCATGTACTGCTACTGTGCACTCTGGTTTCTAGCATAGCACATTGCAAGGCATGCGCAAGGTACTAGATGTACGAGTGTCATGAAGTCACACGTGAGTGTTTCTTTCTTTTCCTCCTGCCATGCCCTCTCTTCTCATCACGCGCAACTCACTCAACCCCACACAGGAGACTCAGCAATAACAATCGCACGGGCTCTGTTCCTGACAATATCTCTACGCTGAAGGAACTCACAGGGCTGTAAGAGGCACATTGGGTTTGCTCCACCTGCATGCTGATCTGCCCACTGGGTGCTGCATGCCATGTGCGCATCACTTCCGGCACTCCTCCACTGCCCATGCACTCTGCATGCCCACTCCTCCCCCCTTCTTCGGTTTGCATCGCGTTGCCACTCATCGATCGTCTCTGCTGCACCATCCTTGTGGTCTCGCTTCATTGACTTCACGTGTGCCTTGCTTAGTAGATCTCGCAAATGCCACTACACAATCTCTACCTTCACAATCACAAACCTCGACAATTGCCTGGCTCGAGCCCTTCTGAACAATCATGCCTTCCAAGTTCCCGTCACCCTCTATAGACAAGCATTCGAGCCTCTTGTCTTACCACGCGCAACTCACTCACCCCACACAGGGATTTTAGGAACAACAGTCTCACGGGCTCCATTTCCGACAGCATCTCTGTGCTCACGGCACTCAAATTGTTGTACGAGGCATACTCTGTTTGCTCTATCTCCGTGCTGCTCTGCCCACTGGGTGCTGCATGCCATGTGCGCATCACTGCTGGCACTCCTCCACGGCCCATGCACACTGTATGGCCACTCCTGCCCCCCCCCCTGCCGTATGCATCCCTTTGCCACTCCGTGTTCCTCCCTGCTGTTGTGCTTCAATAATTTCATGCATTTGCTGCTTTGGAAGAGTGTGCGACTGCCACTGCACAATGTCAACCTAGAAAATCGCAGTCTGCTACAGTAGCCTTGCCCTAGCCCTTCCGAACTGATTTCGCCTACACAGTTCCAGCCACCCTCTGTGGATAGGCTAGAGTCACATGTTTCGTTGAGGTGGTGTGCTGTGCTGGTGATATAGTGGAATGGAGTTGAAGCCGTGTGGGGATTAGGTGTCTGTGGCATTCATTGGGAGACTCCCCATTCACCGTCATCGTGTGCTCCATGCACGGCTACTGTGCACTCTTGTTTCTAGCATAGCACATTGCAAGGCATGCGCAAGGTACTAGATGTACGACTGTCATGAAGTCACACGTGAGGGTTTCTTTCTTTTCCTCCTGCCATGCCCTCCTGATCACGCGCAACTCACTCAACCCCACACAGGGATCTTAGCAGCAACAGTCTCACGGGCTCCATTTTTGACAGCATCTCTGCGCTTACGGCACTCATAATGCTGTAAGAGGCATACTGGGTTTGCTCCACCTGCGTGCTGCTCTGCCCACTGGGTGCTGCATGCCATGTGTGCATCACTGCTGGTACTCCTCCACTGCCCATGCACTCTGCATGCCCACTCCCCCCCACTCTTCTATCTGCATTGCGCTGGCACTCCTCGATCGTCTCTGCTGCACCAACCTTGTGGTCTCTCTTCATTGAGTCCATGTGTGCCTTACTTACAATAACTCGCAAATGCCACTACACATTCTCTACCTTCACAATCACAAACCTCGACAATTGCCCGGCTCTAGCCTTTTTTAATCTATCATGCCTTCCAGGTTCCCGCCACCTTCTGTACACAAGCATTCGAGCCTCTCGTCTTACCACGCGCAACTCACTCACCCTACATAGGGATGTTGGGAGCAACAGTCTCACGGGCTCCATTCTCGACAGCATCTCTGCGCTCACGGCACTCGACTTCCTGTAAGAGGCATACTGGGTTTGCTCCATCCGCGTGCTGCCTTGCCCACTGGGTGCTGCATGCCATGTGCGCATCACTGCTGGCACTCCTCCACTACCCATGCACACTGCATGCCCACTCCTGCCCCCCCCCCCCCCCCCTGCCGTCTGCATCCCTTCGCCACTCCGTGTCCCTCCCTTCTTCTGTGCTTCAATGTTTTCATGCCTTTGCTGCTTCGGAAGAGTTCATGAATGCCACTACACAATGTCAACCAAGAAAATTGCAGTCCGTTACAGTAGCCTTGCCCTAGCCCTTCCGAACTGATTATGCCTTCACAGTTCCAGCCACCCTCTGTGGACAGGCTAGAGTCACATGTTTCGTTGAGGTGGTGTGCTATGCTGGTGATATAGTGCAATGGAGTTGAAGCCGGTTGGGGATTAGATGTCTGTGGCATTCATTGGGAGACTCCCCATTCACCTTCATCGTGTGCTCCATGCACTGCTACTGTGCACTCTTGTTTTTAGCATAGCACATTGCAAGGCATGCGCAAGGTACTAGATGCACGAGTGTCATGAAGTCACACGTGAGTGTTTCTTTCTTTTCCTCCTACCATGCCCTCTCTTCTCATCATGCGCAACTCACTCGCCCCACACAGGAGACTCAGCAATAACTATCTCACAGGCTCTGTTCCTGACAGTATCTCTACACTGAAGGAACTCACAAGGCTGTAAGAGGCACATTGGGTTTGCTCCACCTGCATGCTGCTCTGCCCACTGGGTGCTGTATACCATGTGCACATCACTGCCGGCACTCCTCCACTGCCCATGCACTCTGCATGCCCACTCCTCCCCCCTTCTTTTGTCTGCAATCGCGTTGCCACTCCTTGATCGTCTCTGCTGCACCAACTTTGTGGTCTTGCTTCATTGAGTTCAAGTGAGCCTTGCTTAGTAGAACTCACAGTTGCCACTACACAATCTCTACCTTCACAATCACAAACCTCTACAATTGCCTGGCTCTAGCCCTTCTGAATCTATCATGCCTTCCATGTCTCCGCCACCCTCTGTAGACAAGCATTTGAGCCTCTCTTCTTACCACGCGCAACTCACTCACCCCACACAGGGATTTTAGGAACAACAGTCTCACGGGCTCCATACCCGCCAGCATCTCTGCGCTCACGGCACTCGCAGTGTTGTAAGAGGAATACTGTGTTTGCTCCGCTTGCGTGCTTCTCTGCCCACTGGGTGCTGCATGCCATGTGTGCATCACTGCTGGCACCAGGGTTAAAAAAACGACTGTTTATTTGAAAATTTCTGTTTAAAACGGTAGTATAATAAATGGTTGTAAAAAATGGTTCAAAACGGTGCCAGGAGGTGTTTCATATTACTAACAAAATGGCTAATTAGTGGGACCAAATTGAACACGAAATGCAGCAGCATGAAGAGGAAGGACCCCTTCTTGCATGTATGCGCTTGTTAGCCAGAATGAAAATGTCTTCGACTTTTCTCTCATTTATCCTTGGTGAACAGAGTTCTCTGACGAAAAAACAGCCGTATTTTTTTAAATCACAGTAAAAAACAATCGTAAAAAATGGACTGTATTTTACGAAAACTGTAATTTTGATCCTTGTTTGGCACTCATCCACTGCCCATGCACTCTGCATGCCCGCCCCTCCCCCCCCCCCCCCCCTGCCGTCGGCATCCCTTAGCCACTCCGTGTTCCTCCCTGCTGTTGTGCTTCAATAATTTCATGCTTTTGCTGCTTCGGAAGAGTTTGCGACTGCAACTACACAATGTCAACCTAGAAAACCGCAATCAGCTACACTTGCCTTGCCCTAGCAATTCCGAACTGAATACGCCTTCACAGTTCCAGCCACCCTCTGTGGACATGCTCGAGTCACATGTTTCGTTGGGGTGCTGTGTTGTGCTGATGATCAAGTGGAATGGAATTGAAGCTGTTTGGGGATTAGATGTTTGTGGCATTCACTTGGAGACTCCCCATTCACCTTCATCGTTTGCTTCATGTACTGCTACTGTGCACTCTGGTTTCTAGCATAGCACATTGCAAGGCATGCGCAAGGTACTAGATGTACGACTGTCATGAAGTCACACGTGAGTGTTTCTTTCTTTTCCTCCTGCCATGCCCTCTCTTCTCATCACGCATAACTCACTCAACCCCACACAGGAGACTCAGCAGTAACAATCTCACCGGCTCTGTTCCTGACACTATCTCTACGCTGAAGGAACTCATAAGGCTGTAAGATGCATACTGGGGTTGCTCCACCTGCGTGCTGCTCTGCCCACTGGGTGCTGCATGCCATGTGCGCATCACTGCTGGCACTCCTCCACTGCCCATGCACTCTGCATGCCCACTCCCCCCCACTCTTCTATCTGCATTGCGCTGGCACTCCTCGATCGTCTCTGCTGCACCAACCTTGTGGTCTCTCTTCATTGAGTCCATGTGTGCCTTGCTTAGTAGAACTCGCAAATGCCACTACACAATCTCTACCTTCACAATCACGAACCTCGACAATTGCCTGGCTCTAGCCTTTTTGAATATATCATGCCCTCCAGGTTCTTGCCACCCTCTGTAGACAAGCATTCGACATTCGAGGCTCTCGTCTTACCACGCGCAACTCACTCACCCCACACAGGGATGTTGGGAGCAACAGTCTTACAGGCTCCATTCTCGACAGCATCTCTGCGCTCACGGCACTCGATTTCCTGTAAGAGGCATACTGGGTTTGCTCCACCTGCGTGCTGCCTTGCCCACTGGGTGCTGCATGCCATGTGTGCATCACTGCTGGCACTCCTCCACTGCCCATGCACACTGCATGCCCACTCCTGCCCCCCCCCCTGCCGTCTGCATCCCTTTGCCACTCCGTGTCCCTCCCTGCTTCTGTGCTTCAATATTTTTATACTTTTGTTGCTTCGGAAGAGTTCGTGACTGCCACTACACAATGTCAACCTAGAAAATTGCAGTCCGCTACAGTAGCCTTGCCCTAGCCCTTCCGAACTGATTATGCCTTCACAGTTCCAGCCACCCTCTGTGGATAGGCTCGAGTCACATGTTTCGTTGAGGTGGTGTGCTGTGCTGGTGATATAGTGGAATGGAGTTGAAGCCGTTTGGGGATTAGATGTCCGTGGCATTCATTGGGAGACTCCTCATTCACCTTCATCGTGTGCTCCATGCACTGCTACTGTGCACTCTTGTTTTCAGCATAGCACATTGCAAGACATGCGCAAGGTGCTAGATGTACGAGTGTCATGAAGTCACACGTGAGTGTTTCTTTCTTTTCCTCCTGCCATGCCCTCTCTTCTCATCACGCCCAACTCACTCACCCCACACAGGGATCTTAGTTATAACAGTCTCACAGGTTCCATTCCCAACAGCATATCCGCTCTCACGGCACTCACATTGCTGTAAGAGGCATACTGGGTTTGCTCCACCTGCGTGCTGCTCTGCCCACTGGGTGCTGTATGCCATGTGCGCATCCCTGCCGGCACTCTTCCTCTGCCCTTGCAGTCTGCATGCCCACTCCCCCCCCCTCTTTTGTCTGCATCGTGTTGCCACTCTGCGATCGTCTTTGCTGCACCAAACTTGTGGTCTCGATTCATTGAGTTCACGTGTGCCTTGCTTAGTAGTAAGTCACAGATGCCACTACACAATCTCTACCTTGACAATCACAAACCTCTTCAATTGCCCGGCCCTAGCCCTTCTGAATCTATCATGCCTTCCAGGTTCCTGCCACCCTCTGTAGACAAGCATTCGAGCCTCTCTTCTTACCACGCGCAACTCACTCACCCCACACAGGAATCTTAGGAGCAACAATCTCACGGGCTCCATTCCCGACAGCATCTCTGCGCTCACAGCACTCGAATACCTGTAAGAGGCATACTGGGCTTGCTCCACTTGCGTGCTGCCCTGCCCACTGGGTGCTGCATGCCATGTGCGCATCACTGCTGGCACTCCTCCACTGCCCATGCACTCTGCATGCCCACTCCCCCCCCCCCTCTTCTCTCTGCATCGCGTTGCCACTCCTCGATCGTCTCTGCTGCACCAACCTTGTGGTCTCGCTTCATTGAGTTCAAGTGTGCCTTGCGTAGTAGAACTCATAGCTGCCAATACACAATCTCTACCTTCACAGTCACAAACATCGGCTCCAGCCCTTCTGAATCTGTCATGCCTTCCAGGTCTCCGCCACCCTCTTTAGACAAGCATTTGAGCCTCTCATCTTACCACGCGCAACTCACTCACCCCACACAGGGATCTTGGGAGCAACAATCTCATGGGTTCCATTCCCGACAGCATCTCTGCGCTCACGGCACTCGAATTCCTGTACGAGGCATACTGGGTTTGCTCCACCTGCGTGCTGCTCTGCCCACTGGGTGCTGCATGCCATGTGCGCATCACTGCTGGCACTCCTCCACTGCCCATGCACACTGCATGCCCACTCCTGCCCCCCCCCCCCCCCCCCCCCCTGCCGTCTGCATCCCTTTGCCACTCCGTGTTCCTCCCTGCTGCTGTGCTGCAATAATTTCATGCTTTTGTTGCTTCGGAAGAGTTTGCGACTGCCACTACACAATGTCAACCTAGAAAATTGCAGTCCGCTACAGAATCCTTGCCCTAGCCCTTCCGAACTGATTATGCCTTCACAGTTCCAGCCACCCTCTCTGGATAGGCTAGAGTCACATGTTTCGTTGAGGTGGTGTGCTGTGCTGGTGATATAGTGGAATGGAGTTGAAGCCATTTGGGGATTAGATGTCTGTGGCATTCATTGGGAGACTCCCCATTCACCTTCATCGTGTGCTCCATGCACTGCTACTGTGCACTCTGGTCTTTAGCATAGCACATTGCAAGGTATGCACAATGTTGTTACAATTATGAGTGTCATCCAATCCCACGAAAGGCAGCTCACCATCATCTCACCCCTCACAGTCCTCACCACCTTCCAATACAAAACGTGTGTGTTTCTTTCTTTTTCTCCTGCCATTCCCAACTCACTCACCCCACATAGGGCTCTTAGTAGCACCTTTCTCACAGGCTCTATTCCCAACAGCATATCCGCTCTCACGGCACTCACATTCCTGTAAGAGGCACACTGGGTTTGCTCCCCATTCACCTTCACCGTGTGCTCCGTGCACTGCTGCTCTGCACTGTGGATTTTAGCATAGCACGTTGCGAGGTATGCACCATGTTACAAGTATGAGTGTCGTACATTCAAAGAAAGTGGGCTTACCATCATGTCGCCCCTCATGTTCCTCACCACCTTTCAATTCAAGACAAGTGTTTTCTTTCTTTCCTTCCTGCCATGTCCTCTCTTCTCATCATGCGCAACTCACTCAACCCACACAGGAGTCTTAGCTATAACAGTCTCACGGGCTCCATTCCTGACAGCATCTCTGCGCTCACGGCACTCAAATTGTTGTAAGAGGCGTTCTGGGTTTGCTCCACATGCGTGCTGCTCTGCCCACCGGGTGCTGCATGCCATGTGCGCATCACTACCGGCACTCCTCCACTGCCCATACACTATGCATCCCAAGTAGTACTAGTGAGTCAGTGTCGGAGTTTCTTTGTAGGTGAGTTCGACAGTCCTTCATAATCTCAAGTTCAGGTCACCTCAAAAACCTGAAGCACCGACTAGCCAAAAACAAGAGATCGGAACGACACGTGATAATTCAATTTTTTCTCACCTTCAAGAAGTTTCTGATACTGTGCAAGGCGAGAGAGGCAAACTAATTTGTGGTTCGTTGGAGTGGATTGTTGCGCGGTTCGTTGGAGAGAAGTATGGTGCAAATATTGTAGACGAGGTCGGTACAAAATGAGATGATGGATTCTGAAAAAATAATTGACTTTGGCGGAGGTTGTAGTCCTAAGGTCTGTACAAAGCTGACCTTCAAATTCAGTGATGATGTCTGTTGAGGAGGATGGAGTCTTTATCACGATCAAGGCGATATATGCCTTGGTCGGATGGTAACTGGTTGAAACTGATGCGGATGAGACGAGAATACAGATGATGTTGCCAAAGCAACGGGGCCTACTTAATACCAAAGGAAGATTTGCATGTAAGGCACACGTTCGATGGGTTGACAACAATGCCGGGCGGCTCAACGAGGATCATCACGTCGTAGAGAAACGAAGTTTGGCTAGTAAGATGTGAAGAGATGTGTGGCGAAAGATAGGCAAAAACGTTTTGAAACCGTGAGTTGGTCAAAGCCGTGGATAACACAACAAGCTTTGAACCTCTCGATAGAACCATCGACATTCGGCTTCATACGAAACGCCCACCAGCCATATACCATGTTGTTGTTAGCGCAATCAATTTCCACTTAAGTTCCCCTAACGCGTTGAGTTCTCGGTCCATGGTCTCGCACCATTTCTCGCGGTGCGGAGTTTGCATGCCCACTCACCCCCACTTTTCCATTGTTGTCTGCATCCCTTTCCCACTTCGTGTTTCTCCTTACTGCGTAACTCACACATCTGGCACTTCACAATCTCAACCTCTCCAGAGATTTGAAGTACAACCAACTTACTGGGCCTATTCCAGCCGCATTTGGGAGTCTTTCTGGACTGCAAATCATGTGCGCATGCACTCTGCATTATCCCTCCTTTACGATGCGCATTGATATTTCCCGCCACAATATAAGAGCCAGGCATGGTTTTGAGAGTCATGGTTATCCGAGGATGTTTGAGATCTTTTCTGCAACAAAACTGGTTCAATCTCATCCAACAAATGTCCCCAGGCACCAAATCTATAAGTTATAAGTTCCAAGTGAATACAACTAACCTTGAAGACAGGAGGTTGATATCTATGAGATTGTGTATCTTGACTGCTTCAATGAATCTGTGCACAAGTTTCCCAAACATACATGGCTGAGTCATATGGCATGGCCACGGCACTTTCCCACGGGCATTGTTACACATGCATGCGTATATGGCTGAGTCACATTGGCATTTTCTCCTTCGTCAAATCGCCCACTTCCATCGCAGCAATATTGATGGCAACGATGTCACTTGTCCTGCTGACAACACTAGCTGCAGCCAAACCCCAGTGGCAGAGGCAGCGATGTGCTGGATGTGTGACACCTTCACCTTTTGTATTACATGTCAGCGACCAACAGGTCAATAGGGGGGGTCAAGCTGCTAGTTGAATTGGCCCCACTCCTGACATGCTAGTGATGGCCAACTCATTCGCTTTGCTCAAACCGCTTGCTGTCTCTCTGTTGAAATTATATGATGGCGCTTTGCTTGACGACATGCCTGAGTTGTTGTCGCGACCTGTTTTGATTTGTGCACATCTCCAGGTTTATCTGGAGGTGCATCTGGAGGTGGAGCTGGTACTCCCTCCTCCCCTTCTGCCTCACCGCCACCACCTAAGCCTGCTGGTATGTTTTCTGCTTTGGGTTGGTCGCAACTACTGTTTTCGTTTTTTGCAACTGTGATCTCAGCATGTTAGCCCTCATTTCCCTGCTTCCCATTCCCTGTTCCCCCTCCCCTTCCCACCCTCCCCCCCACTCTCCCCCTTTCTTCCCAGACAATCACATGCCCTTCTCCCAACCTTCACTTGCTTCCACAAATGCTCTGCTATTGCTCTGATGTGACACTTTACTCCACCCGCTCTCCCCTTGTCAGGTTCTCTCGCTCCACCGGTCAGTGTCGTGGCCGCTGCCATTGCTGTTGCACTCACCTCACTGCTCTTCGTGTAGAGCAGTGCATAAAACATGGAACAACAGGAGAGACAAGTCAGTGACTATCGAATTGCAGTGAAAATATAGAATGATACCAGTAATACCGAGGACTCTGTGAAGACATAAGTGGCAGCACCCCCACCAGTGTGCCTCTATAGAAGTTGGCTGTTACATTGTGAGGGGCTCTTGGGATTGTGACTGGGATTATGCTGTCTTGCCAATGTTTTACAGTAGCTAGGGTGGGTTGGAAGTTGGATATTTTGATTACCATAAAATGATTGGTGTTGAAATAAGGAAACAGTACTTGTTAATGAGTATGAACAAGTCAATACAAGTAAAACTCTAGAAGGGATATATCTTTCAGAGAACAAACAAGTGGCCACAAGGTCAATTCACATGCAGATACATAATACAACAAGCCATACAATGACAATAACATCAACATGAAACATGCAGGTGTAAATTTCAAACCACAAGACAAAATCAAGAGATAAGCAAGTAAGGCAGAGTGGGCAGAAGCCCAAGAGCAGTGCAGAACCGCTGATGATCACTAGATCCAAGAGTTTTGGTGAAGTCGTCAGCACTGTTGGCCTGAGGGGCCACGTATGAAGTAGAGTCACAAGCACCTAGACTAGTAGCCTCTACACCACCGGATGCCTCTACAACCGCATCCCTAGTACTCCAGGCTCCGCCACCAGGGCTGCCCCACCGGACAGCCCGCTCATGAAGCTTTTGCGGCGAGAGGGTCTCCGACGGTCACTGCTGCCGCTGCTGTCCACCCCCAGAACCTCCGCGTCCACCAGCGGCACCACCAGCAGGAGTAGACGCACAGGTACCTACACTCGCCTCCCCGACCAACTGCTGTACCTCCTTTAACAAAGGACGGCTCTGCCGCAGTGGCCGGGTGGTAGGAGTGAGTGAGGAGTAGCGCCTTACCACAGCATCGTAGAAAACACTGGCCAACGTCACCTGACGAAAGTGGGTCCTCTGGTCGACCGGCAGGTGAGCGCGAACAACAAGTTCTGCGACAGCATCGCACTACGTCCACTGAGTGTAGGCATCGCAGTCCGCCCGGTACCGCCTCTGCACAGCGTCGCCAGCGTCAGCAGCAGGTGCAGTGGGAGGTGTGGGAACTGGAAGGGACCCCGACGTGGGCTCGAACAGGGAGACGCCATCTCTAAGGAAACGCTGGAGATACATGTTCAGGCACGTAAGCCACATCTCGAACTTGTGAGGGCGGCCGTTTCAATCGCTAAAACAGTAAGAGGGGTCATGACAGGCAATGGCAGTCAGCAGTAGCGGCGACAGGGAGGCACGGCTCGGGAGGGCAGGGCGGCGCGGCTTGGAAAGGGCAGGGCGGCGCAGCTCGGGCGGGGCTGTGCGGCTAAGGTAGGGCGGCGCGGCTCCGCAGGGCAAGGCAGCGCGGCTCGGGCAGGGCGACGTGGCAGGGCAGGGCGACGTGGCAGGGCAGGGCGACGTGGCAGGGCAGGGCTGCGCAGCTCGGGCAGTGCGGCGAAGGCTCGGTAGCAGCAGCAGCAGTAGTAACAGCAGCAACAGTAGCAGTAGCAGCAGTACAGCAAGGTGGCGCAGCTCATAGGGCTGCATGGCACGCGTGGGCTAGCAGGCCTAAGAGCAGGACTGCGCGCGGGCCTAAGGGCAGGGCAGCGCGATGCGCGGGATGCAGGGCAGGGTGGCGCGCGGGCCTAGGGGCAGGACAGCGCGATGCGCGGGCTGCATGGCAGGGCGACGCGCGGGCCTAAGGGCAGCTGGGCGCGCGCTGGGCAGGGCAGCGGGGCACGCGCTGGGCAAGGCAGCAGGGCAGCAGAGGACAACGAGCAGGCTGCATCAGGGCGCGACGCGTTGGGCAGCAGTTGGGCGCGACGCGTGGGCTGCAGCAGGGCTCGACGCGCGGGTCAACAGGGGGGGATACGCGGGGCAGCAGGGGGAGACAAGCACGAGCTGCAGGGCGCGACGCGCGGGCAGTAGTCGGGTGCGACGCGCGGGCTGTAGCAGGGCGCGACACGCGGGGCAGCAGAGCGTGACACATAGGCTGCAGCAGGGCGCGATGTGCGGGCTGCATGGCGCGACGCGCGGCTGCAGGACGAGCGTGCAGGGCGTGCGGGCAGGCAGGGCGGCGCAGCAGCTACGCAGGGCGCGCGCGTGCAGGGCAGCGCCTGGGCAGGGCAGCAGGGCATGAAAAATAAAGTTTACAAGGCCGGGCAGGGTGGAACGTTCGGTGGGCCCTAGGGAACGAACCTACTCTAATGCCATGTTGAAATAAGGAAACAGGAATGGTGAATGACTAGGAACAAGGGTTGTACCCCCTATAGCTAGCATCACTATAGCCTATCAGAGTAACATACACATATGTTTGACAACTGTTCACTACTATGGTGTGCATGGTGCTTGATAGACTATGTTATGTACAAGCCATGCTGGTCAATGGCGTTGTCGTCTAGAATAGGATTGAGATGCCATATTGTGATTTGTGGATCTGATTGAGCACAGATGTGTGTAGGGAATAACTTTGAAAGTGGAGTGCATTTAATCCCGTAATACATATCAAAGCGTAAAGAAAGGTAAATAAACAAACCCTAAATCTAAGCGCCTAAAAAGTTTCCTCAATTATAAGGGCAGGTGCCCGCATTTCGAGCAGACCAAATCTAAACCCCTCTCAGATGGCAAGTCATCCAAGGAATAACCAACCCTAAATACCAAGTGGCAAATTAGGTAGGGTTGATGCCCTTTCCTGTGCAGTTTATCTCTCTGAGCCGGTACCGTAAAAGGCAAGGATGGGTGATTACTATTTTCTCTGACGATGTAACTAGTCTCTATCCTATTTTTTCGTACCGTTAAAGGTATCGTTTCTGCGCCCTGAGCTTCAAATGGGTAAAAACCCTGGATCAACTGGAAACCTCTCTTTCAAGTTGAATCTGCCTTCACTATCCTAGACAACAATGCCATATACCAGCATGGCTTGTACAGGATTGAACCTGTCAAGCAACATGCAAACAATAGCTATCGCAAACCATTCTAAGGTAATCAGAACCACCTAGCTATTGCAAAACCCTTGCAGGTCAGCCGGCATAATCCCAGTCATAATCCCAACAACCCCTCACAATCTAACAGCCAACTTGTACAGAAGCACTCTGGTGGAGCTGCCACTTGCATCTTCAGTGCACTCGCGACTGCTGGTATCATTCGATATTGTCACTGACTTGTCTCTCCTGTTGCTTGTTTCATGTTTAACGCACAGCTCTACACGAAGAGCAGAGAGGCGAGCGCAACAGCAATGGCAGCGGCCAAGACACTGACCGGTGAAGCGAGAGAACCTGACAAGGGGAGAGCAGGTGGAATGAAGACAGCAGGAGTAGTCACATGAGTGAGCAATAATCCACTAGTGAAGAAAGAATTTAGAACAGGATGTTAGGGACAAGGGCATGCGATTGCTTGGGAAGAAAGGAGTCGGAAAGCAGAACAACAAGAGGACTTTCTTGGAACGCGTTACCGCTTTGCAGAGGACATGCAGGCGTTCGGACAGAATTGAGGTATGAGATCACTTGTGATGGTCTCGCTGGGAGGTTGTCTATGACTATAGGCATTCGGACCAGTGAGAACCACCTAGTTTTTATGGTCGTCACAGTGCACATGACCCTAGCGATTTCCAGCTGCAGCAGGAGATGCAGGATTTTGTTCAGTTGGAGGGCTCACACACTGCGTCGCTGATAGCAAAGATCCTTGAGGACATTATGATGGAGTGGGGTCTGAGCGAGTTGTTGTTCACTGTCATGACAGATAATTCACAGAACAACAACGTCATGCGCATGCTTGCAAGGGACCCAGCGGAGGGACCCGAGTCGAGGAAAATGTCTCCGTTGTTCGACGGAGATCAGCATGTGCGGTACGTGTTACGCCACGACACCGTTAATGTTTTGAACTTCCATCATTGCGCAATGATGTGCCATGGTCCAATAATTCCAACCACCATGTTCAACCTCCCCTCCCCGATGCATGTGTGCCATGCATGCACACCTGCATTGCACATGTCATGAATACTACAGTGCAGCAAGCATTGAAGATGAGGGAGGTGTCTGAATCGCAGAGTCGTCTGTGATAGGTGTCAGAGTTAGCAGGCAGAAGCTAGAAACAGGAAAGAGCGTTTTTCACTAGCAGGCAGTTGAGTACATATAGCAAACCCTAATTCGGGCTGTACTCGCTATAGAGTACCCCACTGCAGGCTAGACAAACGTCATATTTTGACACACCCCCATAGTCAAAGTGGGGTATAATCAGCACAGCAAGCAGGCAGAGCAGTAGGTTCACAAATACAAGCAAAGCTAGAGGCAGTCACAGAGGGCAAGTGAGGAGGAGGAGGAACTGTGAGAGGAGTGGAGGTAGGAGGCGTCTGGTGAAGCCGCAGACACACGGGCAACAGGAACGGCGCGCACGGTGGCTACCGGAGCACTCAACCTCCGGACTACATCACTTGGACGGGGGGCAGTTGTTGCTGATTTGTCTGTGTCGAGAGAGAAGGTGTGCGCGGCGGTATCACGGCTTTTCTCAGCCGGTTGTCCAGGTTGAGCTGGTTGGGAAGAGGTTCCCGCATCGCCTTTGCGCAGGTCTTGGAGTTCTTTCTCCATAGTTGAAAGTCGAGCAAAAAGTTGCTCGAGGGCGGCAGTGCCAATCCTGGTTGTCGCCTCATTTGTCGCAGCCGGATTGGATTGTCCTTCAGCCGTCAGATTCGCTTGGCCTCCGGATCCTCCGGCCATTTTGGTCTTTGAGCGTGTGCCGCTCGCCAGATTTTGGCTCGACGAATTTCACGGAAATGAAGTTGCGAAGAATCCCTGAGTTGCTCTCATACCATGTTACAATCCTAAAAATGACTTTGCGAAAGATCGCTCAGGGTTGATCGCAGAGTGGTGTTGCAGCGGAAGTTTGAATCTCAGGTCAGAGTGAATGTAAATGACTGAGTTGACAATAGCATGCATACATCGGGTTTATATAAGAATACAGGGGAATACGAAAAGACCTAGACTAGCCATGTACTCTAAGGGGTACATTCCCTTACTACAACTGAATTCAAACCGTGCGGCGCGGCGCGGGAACCCGTTTCAAACCTGTTCCCGCTCTTTTCACTTCAAATGTTTCTGCCAGCATCGGTCTTGGTGAGGCGGTTGCTGCGTCGCTTCGACTCTTCTGACTCCTCGACTTCGTACTCGGTAGAGTCGGCTCCTGCAGTATACATGAATGCCTTCTCATGAAACTACATATCGCAACAGAAGGCACGCGCTAATATAGTGGGTCATCCTAGCTAGGCAGGAACCTTGGGAACACGAGGTTGGGTGCAGGTTGGGCAAAGGAAAGCCGAAGGCGACGCGAGGTTGCTTCGGTAGCAAACAAAGTGGCCGAACGTGCACTTCCGAAAGTTGGGGTTGTACGCGGTTGAGTAAACCCTTGTAAGGAAAAAGGTTTTTCCTTACAGCTTGGGTTGCATTTCATTTGCTTCTCCGTGGCATCTCGGTTGGAAGGGACATCGGCAACCTTGATTCAAATCTAGCATCACTTTTCTGAACTATACGAAAAATCTACACCCTGTAAACGCTATAGCTACATACGGTTAAGCGATGCATTGACGAAACATTTACCTCCTTAGTTACTCGCAGTCGCAACTTCGGTTTGCCTCACACTCTCCCCCTACATTGCCGTCCATCACACCTGAGGCGAAAGTTCGCATCGACGAAAAACTCGCTGAGTCAACCACACCGCCAGCCTTCCACCGAAAATGGTGGGTGGGACAGGCAAGCCCAAGGCGGGTCTTCCTGTTTCTCCACTTTGCCTCCCTCCGTGAACCACGCTCGAGGCGCGGCGCGTGCGAGTGACCAATCGAATTCACCAAGAGGCCACCTGCGCTCTAGGCTCCCTGAGCGATACTCGCCTGTCCCGTTAGTCCCTAGGTTCTATACCCCACAGGAAAACCATTTCTGGAGCCGCGCGTCGCTTTCGTATAGTCGTCGATTTGATCTTCCGAGGGCCGTGAGCCTGAAACTCTGAGTGCGACGCGCAAAAGCCTGTTTATTTTGTTTACACAGTATGATCTATAAACCGAGGACCGAGGCCACGCATAGTCTGCATTCCAGTCGGCTGCAGCTGAGTTATCTCTCAGATTTCGACGACCACACCCCCAAAACTGCTCCACACGACTCCCTTCACTTGACAAAGGCGCCAGACGAACGCTAAGCATTTAACGACGACCGCCTCCCGTATCGCTGGTTCCACAGCTTTTCGGAACATTTCTTCGAAGCGCTTCACTATATCCTTTCAACTAACAGTTGCGCTACACTAGCGGCAGCTGTAGACCCTACAGCATCTAGTTTTATCCGTTACTTGCAAGTAGCTAGACCCGAACAACCGCGTGAAAATTCCACAATGCGTCGAGATTTAGTGCTTCGCGTGATGCTTGGCGGCCTCTGTACAGTCACACTACCTACTAGCCACTCATCAGCGGAACACCCCAAGTACCATGCTCGCGGAACGAGGTGCCGAGCCTTCGGACAAGGTTCGGGCCGAACCTCGTCCTCGGCTCTGTTCACCCAGCTTCTCCTCTTTTCGCTCCTCTGTACAAATCTCCGAAGCTCGCTTGCATCTGCCACCGCCAGCCAAGCACACAATATCTCCCTGTCCGATCCCAGTTTTGTAGGCGGAAAACGCATAGGCGTCAATGGTATCAGTGCTTCAGAGACGGAAGATGATTCTGAGTGGATGGGGAAGAGGCGGTCACTGTTCCTCTGGCGGGCAGGCTCGAAGAAGCCAAAACAGGTGGGTAGCGGATGGGTGGGCTCGCAGTCCTGAGACTTGAAGGTGCCGGTGCCTCAGAGACGGGAGATGTTTCTGAGTGGGCTGGGAAGAGGCGATCACTCTTTCGCTGGTCAGGGTCGAAGAAGCCAAAACAGGTGGATGACAGACGGGAGAGCTTGCTGAGCTGCTACTAGATGGTTTATCCCGGTACCCTCTGTGTTTCATGGCTCCACGTGTGTGTTTGTGCCTCAGCACATTCCGAAACCGTCAATGAGCTTTGCGCGAGAGCATCAGAGTCATGTGGTCATCAGAGAGCATCAGAGTCATGTGGTCAGCAGAGAGCATCAGAGTCATGTGGTCATCAGAGAGCATCAGAGTCATGTGGTCATCAGAGAGCATCAGAGTCATGTGGTCATCAGAGAGCATCAGAGTCATGTGGTCATCAGAGAGCATCAGAGTCATGTGGTCATCAGAGAGCATCAGAGTCATGTGGTCATCAGAGAGCATCAGAGTCATGTGGTCATCAGAGAGCATCAGAGTCATGTGGTCATCAGAGAGCATCAGAGTCATGTGGTCATCAGAGAGCATCAGAGTCATGTGGTCATCAGAGAGCATCAGAGTCATGTGGTCATCAGAGAGCATCAGAGTCATGTGGTCATCAGAGAGCATCAGAGTCATGTGGTCATCAGAGAGCATCAGAGTCATGTGGTCACTCCCTTTTCACAGACAGCACATCTTGCATTTCTGTCTCGTCCCTATGCCTGTACCCTTCGCGCCCACTCCCCAGGTGCATAGCACGAAGCCCTAGCCGGCCCCAACAGCATCAGAGTCATGCAGTCAATCCCTAACCACATCCCTTCTCCCAAACTCGTTTCTGTCTTTTCCCTATGCCTCTCTTCTCTCGCCCATTCCCCAAGTACACTTAACTCTTGCCGGCCCCAACAGCATCAGAGTCATGTGCTCTACGTCTCGCCGTGGTACGTCGTCATTGGTGGAGTTCGGGGTAACTTCTGGGCAATACACCAACAAGGCGAAGGGGAAGTCTTCCAGCTACACCTTCCTGACCTATTCGTGAGTACACTCGAAAAAATGGTTATTCACTTTTCTTTTTCATTGCTTGCTTCTCTCACACACCTAACTTCTCTCTTTTCGTCCTCCAATCTGGCTCAACACTTTTCCTTCCCATGAATGCACTTCGTACCAGAGTCACCTTTTCTTGCTTCACGTTCCAACCCTCCACCTAGCCACCACCTATTATTGCTATCGGATTGCGGGAGAGACACCACTGACCGCAACGATCCCTTGTAATACCCTCCCTTGACTATTTCCCCTCTCCTCCCGTTGTGTGGTAATCCTCCCCAATCCACCACCTGTGCAGGTCGGACCAGCTGCACAGCGCTGTGCAATCAGACCTGCAACCCGAAACCACCTTCTGCTACTATTGCATTGCAGGGGAGGGGCCAGAACGCTCACTTGTACTCCCTTTCTCTTTCCACCCTCCACCTTTCCTCTCCCCATCCCATCACGTCACCTGTGCAGGTCGGACCAGCTGCACAGCGCAGTGCTCTCGAATCTGCAACCCAAAACCACCTACTACTATCGCATCGCAGGGAAGGGGCCAGAACGGTCCTTTGTAACTCCGCTCACCGATGCTGCTGCTGACGTCAGCATCGCTGTTGTTGGTGAGACAGTGGGTTCGGGAATCGGGAGTTGAGTCCAGGGTGGGTGGGAGTGGGTGGGAGCATGGTGAGAATTAGGAGGGGGTGGTTCTGATTCTGCTGCTGACGTCAGCATCACTGTTGTTGGTGAGAGCTGGTGTGATGATTGGTGGAAGCGGGTGGGAGTGGGCGGGAGCAGGTGGGAGAGGGAGGCGTCAACATGCGGATGGGGATAGGTTTAGGGATTGAGGCTGGGTGGGAGGGATACCTGTAGGTTGTTCCTATGCCACGAGATGTTTTAAACAGATCTTGTTGACGGATTCCTTGTTTGCCCTTAAAGGTTGATACAGGTCTCTCACCCTCCTTCCCATTCCTCTCCCTTGCATTGCTTGCTTCCCGTCCAGGTGAGATTGGTCTGTCCAAGGCAGCCCGCACAACCATCTCTCGTCCCTCTCAGCAGCCCCACTCGCTCACCCTCCTCTCCACTCCTCTCTCCCTCGTTCCCATTCCTCTCTCCCACCTTGCGTCCTTTCCAGGTGACATTGGTCTGTCCAAGGCAGCCCGCACCACCATCTCTCGTCTCGCCCAGCAACCCCACTCCCTCACCCTCGTCCCGGGAGATCTCTCCTACGCCAACGGTGTCCAATCCGTGTGGGACAGGTGGCAGTCTCTGATTGAACCAGACGCCAGCACACACCCTTGGATGGTCGTGCCGGGAAACCACGAAGCCGAGGCACTTAGCGCGATCAGCCCGAAGGACTTCGAGTGGCCTGCGTTTCTTAAGCGATCCGCTTTGCTAAACAGCGGTGCTTTTCTGGCATATAAGAAGCGGTGGGAGATGCCTTCTGCTGCCAGCGGGTCGCCTTCTAAGCTGTATTACTCGTTTGAGGTGGCAGGGGCGCATATCATCGTGCTCTCCTGCTACTCACCCTTCGGTCCTGACTCTGAACAGCGGAAGTGGCTGAAGGTGAGCCTTCAAGAAAGAATAACGCGAATGAGCCTTACAGGCGAAGGTTGTCATCGTGCTCGCCTCTCCTGCTATTCACCCTTCGGCCCCAACTCCAAGCAGCGCAAATGGCTAAAGGTGAGAAAGCCCTTCGTCAAGAGCACATCCCCTTTAGTCACATGTACCATTGCCTCCCCTAGTAAGTCGCCTTCTAAGCTGTTTTAATCGTTCGAGGTGGGACGGGCACATATCATCGTGCTCTCGTGCTACTCTACTCGCCATTCGGCCCCGACACTGACCAGCGCAAATGGCTGCATGTGAGCTTTCTTCAAGAACACATCCCGTTTAGTCACATCTAGCATTGCCTCCCTTAGCGCTCACCGCCCTGGACCCATCCATATCGCTTTGTACCTTCCCTTGCAGAGGGATCTGTCGTGTGTGGATCGGTCCAGAACACCCTGGCTGGTGGCATCCCTGCACGAGCCCGGGTACCATTCTAAAAGGGACCACCACATGCATACCCACTTTCACCGTTCTGCACCCATCTCTACCCCTCTGAACATCCCCTCATCCTCTTTTTTGCAGAGAGACCCATCAAGCACAGATTGGTCCAAAACCCCCGTGCTCTAAAATCCCTGCACGAACCCTGGTATCACTTCAACAGCGACCATCAGACGGACAGACCATGAGGAAGGGAGGCCCTGGAAGAGACGCTTACCGCTCTGCACCCATCCATATCTCTTCGTACCTTTCCTTGCAGAGGGATTTGTCAACCGTGGATCGCTCAAAACCCCCCGGGCTCATAGCATCCCTGCACGAACCCTGGTATCACTCCAACAGCGACCATCAGACACCCACTCTCACCACGCTACACCCATCTCTGTCCCTCCGTCCCATCCCCTCATCCTTTCTCTTGCGGAGGGACTTATCAACCGTGGATCACTCAAAAACCCCCGGGCTCATAGCATCCCTGCAAGAACCCTGGTTTCACTTCAACAGCGACCATCAGACGGACACCCACTTCACCATTCTGCGCCCATCTGTACCCCTCTGAACGTCCATCCCCTCATCCTTGCAGAGGGATCTATCAAGCGTGGATCGGACCAGACAGAACCCCCTGGCTGGTGGTGTCTCTACACGAGCCCTGCTATCACTCCAACAGCGACCACCACATCCCATTCTCACCATTCTGCACCGATCCGTGTCCCTCTGTACCCTCCATTTTCAGAAAAATCTATCCAGTGTGGATCGCTCAAGAACCCCCTGGCTCATAGCATCGCTGCATGAGCCGTGGTACCACTCCAACAGCTACCACCAGACAGACTTTCAGGCCATGCGGAAGGCCCTGGAACAGACGCTCACTGCTCTGCACCCATCCATGCCTCTTTATACCTTCCCTTGCAGAGTGATTTGTCAGCCGTCGATCGCTCGAGAACCCCCTGGCTCATAGCATCGCTGCACGAGCCCTGGTATCACTCTAACAGCGACCACCAGACAGATGGGCAGGCCATGCGGAAGGCCCTGGAACAGACGCTGTACGCCGCCCGGGTTGACATGCTGATCACCGGCCACGTGCATGCGTACGAACGCACGGTAAGCTGTAACGACCATTGTAACGGCCGCTGTAACAAGCTTTGAGACGTATCAGCAAGCTCTGGCTGCCCGCGTTGACATGCTGATCACCGGCCACGTGCATGCGTACGAACGCACGGTGAGTTGTCACGACCAGGAGGACCCCTGTGGGATTATTCACGTCCTTTCGACCCCAGCTGAGCCTAATCCTTCGCATCATTCACCTCCATTTTCATCCCTTTTCTCATCATTTCCATCCCATCAGACCCGCGGGTACAACGGCCAGGAGGACCCCTGTGGGATCATGCGCATCCCTTTGCCCCGGATTCAGCCCACCCTTTTCCTTGGTTCACCTCCTCATTCCTTCTTCTCTGTCACTTGCTTGTCCTATCTCCACCCCATCAGACCCGCGTGTACAATGGCCAGGAGGACCCCTGTGGGATCATGCACATCACCGTTGGGAGCGGCGGGAAGGATCTATACCCTAGGTAGGTCAGCTGTGTACTGTGAGGCGTGCTAATACTGACTGTAGGAAAATCACCTGTACCCTGAGACGTCTTGTGTATACCCGCGTCCTATCCTGGGCACACCAGCTGTGCTGTGCTGTAAGACGTCCTAATACTCTGCCCTAGGAAATTCAGCTGTACACTGAGACGTCTTGTAACACCATAAACTTCCATTCTCTTACAAACATCCCATCCCCTCCCTCCCCCTCCCTCTCCCTCCCTCCACCCTCTTTCCCCTCTCAGCTTCGTCTCCCCCAAGCCGGCGTGGTCAGCCTTTCGTGAAGCTGCCTTCGGCTTTGCTCTCTTCAAGATCGATGGCAGTGCAGCAGGGGAGGCGGATTGGGAGTGGCACAAAAACGACGATTCCCCCGCTGTTGCTGCCGACTCTGCACGCCTTGTCAGCCTTTCCAGTGCCTCTGCTCCTGCTGAGTGCCGGCCAGCATGAGTCTTTCATGGTTCTTAGCATCAGCATGGGTGGTGACAGCGATGGCAGCAGCCGGCACACGGCAGGGAGTGCAGTGGCGGTAGAACACCGTGACTTGGCACTGTAGCAGGTCCTGTAGCAAGTACTGCAATTCGCACCATGTCAGGGACTGTAGCAGGGAGTGTAGCAAGGACTGTAGCAGGAGCAGGAGTGCCACTGGTAGCAGTGCTAGGAGGTTCGCCAATCCAGGTGTCATCCAGACGAACACAGAGCCCTGCTCTCACCCACACCCACGCCGGGTGGGTGGGGTATCCGGCAGCAGAAGGCACACGGGGGTGGCGAGACTGAGGGGAGGAGCAGTGGAAGAAGAGGAGGGGCACAGGGGTAGGCACGGGGGAGGAGCGGTAAGAGGGGAAGAGGAGAGGGAGTGGAAGGAGGAACAGTAGCTGGGGAGGATGTTGAGGGGAGTGGAGGGGAGGGGGGAAAGGGTAGGTGTGCCGTGTGTGCATGGAGAGGCCGAGGAAGGCAGCGTTTATGCCGTGTGGGCACATGATGTGCCGTGCGGGCACATGCTGTGCCGTGCTGGCACATGATGTGCCGTGCGGGCACATGCTGTGCCGTGCTGGCACATGCTGTGCCGTGCGGGCACATGCTGTGCCGTGCGGGCACATGCTGTGCCGTGCGGGCACATGCTGTGCCGTGCGGGCACATGCTGTGCCGTGCGGGCACATGCTGTGCCGTGCGGGCACATGCTGTGCCGTGCGGGCACATGCTGTGCCGTGCGGGCACATGCTGTGCCGTGCGGGCACATGCTGTGCCGTGCGGGCACATGCTGTGCCGTGCGGGCACATGCTGTGCCGTGCGGGCACATGCTGTGCCGTGCGGGCACATGCTGTGCCGTGCGGGCACATGCTGTGCCGTGCGGGCACATGCTGTGCCGTGCGGGCACATGCTGTGCCGTGCGGGCACATGCTGTGCCGCACTTGTGCTCAAGAGGTTGAGGACAGGTGCGGCAATGGCCCTTTGTGCAATATACATTCTATCAGACTTGGATGATTTGCTGTGCTCTTGCTTGATGTGCAGCAAACAGGCTCGTCAAAGAACTTAATGCCACCAAGCAAAAGCAGGAGTTGAGAACCCCAAAGATAATTTCTTCAATTAATGTGATGTGCAAGGCCATCTGTGCAAGGCTATCTATTAAGTTACAGGATCAGCCCTCAGATGCTCTACTCCAAAAGTTGGAAAACATTGATGTCTGGAAGAGCCCCCTTCACAATATTGACATCGTAGGCGTCGGATAGGCCAACCTCCTCAAGGCTAGGAATAGCCTTCAGGTGCTCCACTCCATAACGGTCAAGGGAGGACCTGAACAGGACGGTCTTGAGGGATAGGCATTTCAGATGTTGCAATCCGCGAGCAGAAACCTTACTTGGGAGACTCAGCCATGTCAGCTTCTCCAAGGAACTCAGATGCTGTAGTCCATCGTCCCGTACCAGACATGCGCTAATATCCAGTGATATGAGACGCATCAACTTAGCCACATGCACCATGCCTGCAGATGAGCCTGCAGATGACGGCGGAATGCTGCGGGATTTCTTGTGGGTACGAGAAAGGACGAGGGTCTGCAGAGAACTAAGGCCTGTCAGTTGAGCAAGCCCAGCATCTGAAATCATGCAATCAATCAAAACAAGTCGAGTAAGTGCCGTCCAATTCCCAACCCCTTGCGCCATTGTGCTGCTAAAAGTTCCTGTTCGCAGAGTCAGCTCCTCCAACCATGTCATGGTGTAGAGATGGGTGAAGTCGCTTTCATTGCAAGTTCCGCGAATGTCAAGTTTCTTCAGGGATTTCATGCAGGAAAGGCGAACAGTTCCAAGGCCCGTCAATAGCCCACTGCTCAGCTTGACTTCAGTGGCTTCAGCAGAAACACCAACAATCGCCCCATCTGCAGTTGTTGAGTGGATGGTAGAGCGACGTGAGGCTTCATATATAGCCTGAAAGAAAGAAAACAATGTACAGAGAATGAGCGGCCAGCATGACAGAGAAATGGGATAAGACAAGTCTACAAACTTCTATGAAAGCTTTAGCTACTCCCCCAGTCAAACCATTCTCACCTGCCATAGCTTCTTCGTTTCATCCCGCTGTTGCACCAGCATTTTTTCTGCCTTGTCCAGTCTCGCAGCCATCTTCGTCTCCTTCTCCTCCCAAATGCTTCGTTCCCGAGCTAGTTCATCTTTAAGTTCACTTACGCTGACTTTATTCGCCTCCCTCAGCTCCTCCAGACCTTTTTCTAACCTTGCCACTTTTGTTGTCAGCAAACTCTTAATCTCCTCCAAGAGCTTGACGGTTGCCGTTGCCATTTTGTGGTGAAAAAAACCACAAGCTCCTAGTCAAAAGGGTAGCCCAAAACGCCTAGCGGAAATAACCTATGGAGCAAAATAAGAAATGCACGTCACTTCATTTCTCATCTGAACTCTGTGATGCAGGCAACAATACCGTAGGCCTTTCTCGATTTCGAAGGCCCTGATCGGTAGCGCCCTTAAGCGGAGTTAGTGAGCTTCAAGTGAGTTCACTGATTCCCGCTTCACAAGTGTGGCGGAAGTTTAAACACTCCGGAGCAAACTTAGCTCCGCGGAGCAACTCCGCCTACTCCAGCATTTTGGGAGAGTGAGCCTCGCCTACTTGGAGTAAGGCCTGGTAGGGTGAAAAAAAAAAAAAAAAAAACGCATAATTGTCTTCTTTTTTTCCAGCGCTAACCTGCCAAAAGACCTTCAAATCTTCCTATTTGTGTATTTTTGTGGCACAGGTACCCCTTTGTGAGAATCTATTTTCTTGGTGACGAGGGGGGCGGTATGGGCAGTACGCAACAGAATTTTGAACAAGATCCGCCCACGACCCTCGCAACTTCCCTACGCGGAGTTTCGAGGGCGTGCGGATCGCCCCTCGGAGTTGGGAAACTTACAGGAGATGGGAAGCACCCACCGACACGTGCCCAAACGTGTGGCTCGGTGTACTTCTGTTTGAGTGCCAACACCACGGAAGTTCACTCGGCGGGGCTACCGAACAGGGCCGAAGAGCTGGTCAACAGCAGTTCACAGCCACTCAACTTTCCAATAATGCACCATCGCAATGCAATTTTCCTGAATTTTCACTGAGTGACTCCTGAATTTTTTCCTTCCGTCCTACTTCCGCGACTGCAGGATGTAGTGCTGAACTTGCGGCTAGAATCTGCCACAGCATCGCAACTCGATCCCAGTCATCACTACCTCAAAATTTCGACCAATGATGATAAGGGCGGAGGTGACACAGCACAGCTGCAGTCTATAGGCAAATTCAGAAAGCTAACAAATATAGAATACTTGCAAATATGATTTATCGTCTGGATCTCAGGTGGTCAGCACAGAAACTGTGTACTGGTGGTAACCTCATCAGAAAGTTTGTGAGCCATCCCCGAACAGGCCTCCAGCAAATCGAGTTTCGAGGAGCACCAGGGGGTGCTCTGGAAATGATTCTGTACAGTGGGTTTTTACCTGTGCGGCTGGGTTGGGGTGTTTGAGGGGGGGAATGGTCGAAACTCGTGTGTAAGGGCACGGAGTTGGGTGGCATGGGAGTGGGTGGTTCGTTCGATTCTGCGACGTGGCTGCAAACGGGCGTTTTGTGTACGTGGACACTTATTTCAGCTGGAAGCTCTGTTTCGGGTGACTTGGGTTGACACGTCACCTCTTCCGTTTGGCTTCACCAAGCCTATGTCGAAGCAAGTCCCGTGACATTATGTAGATGCGATTTGTATTGTGTGTACACAGTGTCGATGGATAACTGACAAATGTCTTACACTTATTTGAGGAGTTAGGGGATTTTTGTTTTGGTGTGTGTTTGATCAAGGATGTAATGATTATATGTTTTTTTGTTGATTAGTAAATAGTAAGATATATTCAGAAAGTTTGTTCTTGTTTCTAGTTGCCCTAACTATGGTTTTTTTTTGTGGACATATAGTGGTCATATTTAATTTTGTTTTGATGGTGAGTTTAGGGATAGTTTTGTTTTATTTGCTTCGACCTCCATTTCTTTCACTTTCCATAATGTGATCTAATGGGTTTTGTACTTGCAAGCCTTTGAAATTGTTTTTTTAATATTGACGCAATATTGTTTGAACTGTATCTGTGGAGTAACTTAATCTCGTCTTTGTTCCCATGTGTAAGGAAAATCACTTTTCCTTACTTCGCATCCCTGCTCAACGCGTACATCACTGTAGCACCTCAGTCAGCACCGTTGCCACTCACGACCCTCGCATCGACAATCACCCTGCCATTTTCGCACATCGCGACCCAACCTCACGGCTCGGCTGGTAACCCGCGCTCCGGGCCTACGCTTCGGCACTTTCCCAACCTCAGTCTCAGGCTCGTCGCGCGACAACTACAGTCCATTACCGTTACCACTGTAGTTTCGCTATATATTCTTCGCTCATGCCTTCGCTCATTGTATTCTTGCTTCGATAGTGCAATTCTCGTTCGCTCACTCAATTGCACTCGTAACACTTGGTATTCAGAGCCTATGATCTCATCTCGGACCGCATCCACACCTTCGCTTCCCCACTATCTCAAATTTTTGGGGGGGTAGACGTCTCTCAGCGATACAGCACCGCCGCTCGTAGTGCTCTCTCGTAAGCATGCACGACCACGACAGAGGCTCTCGCTGAGCTTGCCCAACACCCACGCCATGGCCGATTTCACGCTCGCCACATTGACGCAGGAGCAACTTGATCGTCTCGTGCGTCAACTGGAAGATTCGGCGCTTGAAATTGCAACACTCACGGCGGAACGCGACTCCGCCCGTCAACAATCAACGGTGAACATCCCGGCAACATCACACGCACCGACAAATGTATCTGCACATTCGGATGAGCCGATTGTCATCTCGTCCGGCACACCAACACAACACGAGAGCATGGGATAACGCTCAGGCGCAGCCAGTGATGGCGCCGCCCAGCCGATGCCGGGAATGGGAGGAAATAGGATCGCACCAAG